GATTAAAACTGCTTTGGCATGCTGTTCAACTCACTTTACCCGACTTAACCCACCTTACAACGACTTTGACATACTTTAACCATGCTTTACCCGACTTAGGCCAAGGGATATATAACGATGCTTTTTTCTCCTATATCCACGACCCTGATTTTGAAATAAAATACGAATTTGATGTAATGCGTTGCAGGGGCGTAAGAACCGGGGGGGGGGCAAGGGGCCTAGTCCCCCCACACACGTTTTCAGAAGACACAAAAAGTGCCCTCTTTCTGGTGGCAAAGTGCCCCTTGCCTTCGTGAAAAATGTTCAGAAAATATTCTGCAATTCTTGAGAAAAATGCCCTTCAATACATTAATGTCCACGAAACAAACCAATTCAACTTTTGGTTAAAATTTGCGCACTGAAAATGATCCAAAAACTTGCATAGATCTAGAATATCATATACGATGAATCTAGTCCTGCATGATAATGCCCTTAAATGAAGTTATGCGCCCTTGTTATCTCGTTATTGATCAATTAGCCTTTCTCACGGTCGATTTTTCTGCTATTTTTGGGGGTACTGCCTTACCCACGTTTGAGAGTCTCCTCACCACGAAGACTGTCAAAAGTTAAATAAAATAAACAACTTTTTGTTGTTGTAGTTGTTTCTATAATGGTAAATCTACAGCTACAACTTTTAAAAGTCGCATTTCGCGTTGTTTGAATTTTCTAGAATCTTTTACGAGGGCAGACATGTACGCAGTACCCCAAAAATGGCGGATTTTGGACTTCGTGAGAAAAGCTAATTGCTCTAAAAGTGGAGAATCATCTTGATTTGAATTTCAAGGATATTATCTTTTGCATAAGTAATTATTCACTAATTATTCTACAATTAAAACTTTATTGAATTGTGACAGAAAGGAGTAATCAAACGGTCTGAGTCCATGTATAATCTAAATCGATGTTACTATACTTCTATAAATTATATGTATTGGTTGCAGTGGCGACGGAACAGTTTTTACTTTGAGGGGGCTAATTTAAAAAAATGTTGCAATATATAACTTTTTTCCCAGAAATATTGGCGAAGGTGGTACTTAAAAAATTTTCCCAACCTAACACATTTTCTTTGTGATATTTTTACAATAACTACCGGTTTTTATTAGTTTTTTTTTTAAATGTGTCGAATTTCGAAGCACAAACTTCAAAACTTTGGATCTGTTCGACTCTTCTGTTTTCCAAATGTTTAGGGGCATTTTGCCGTTGTCTGTTCAGTTATAGAAACACAGTAAGACGTCATAATATGGTAAGAACATCAGTGACCCCACGCCTATAGGCGACTCATGCACGGGCCACTTTTTTGTTCTTGCCACATTTTTTATTTTATATTGTGTACATACAAAATGTTATCTATGTGTTACTAGTTCATTTTTGTAATATACACCTAGTAACATGAGTCTTTTCTCAGCTGACAAGAGCCCTCATGGTTAATGCCCCCCCCCCCCTCCAACTAAAAGATGCTTCATACGCCCCTGATACGTTGATTATAATTAAGAAAATTACGCCCTATGTTAGAGCTGACATTCATGCTAAATGGTGGGTTGAACCAAATGATATTACGTTGCCTATTTCTGCGTGCTTGCTGTGGTGCATGTTGAGTGTAGTTAAGATCATGATTAATTAAAGTTGCTATGGTCAAGTGCGTTTTGGTATGCAGGTGCAGATTCCATAAATGTTTGCTCATCTGATGAAAGCATTGCGATGCGCTTGTTAACTGATGTAGGAAGCTGCCTTATAATGCTAGGTGGATGATTAGAGTACC